CTATCTTTAACCCCTAACTCTCCAGCCTCCTCCTTGCAAGTGGTGTGATTACAGGTATGCATCACCATGCCTATTATCTTCAGCTCACTGCCCTAGGCCTCCCCCTGGTGCCCATCAAAAAGGCTTTTCCTGAATAGTCTTTCTTTGGCTCCACATTGTGATCACGCGTAGAGCAGACACCAACAGGAAATAACATTGGGACAAAAAGAAGAATCAAGAAGGTGGCTGAAGAATTCCACAGAGCAGCTAGCATGGGGAGGGCAGGCAGAGATGAAGGGGTAGCAGTATCAGCACCGAGAAGGAAGAATATGACAGAGAGGCGAAAGTGAAGGACTCTACCTCAGATTCTGGAAGAGTTTCAGGAAACAGCCAAGCCTTCAAGGTTTTGACACCTGGAGGTTACACACTCTAACACTAGCTGCCACTGGCCGCTGCTGCCACAAGATGTTGCAGGAAACTCAGGCAGAATCGACTAGCTGCTGGGTGCTGGGAGCTGGGTGCTGGCTCACTGAGAATCAAAGCCTCCAACCTGACCACCTAGGGGTGTAAATCTCTGGCTTCTAAAGCCAGGAGTTATATATCCAGTTCTTGGGGCTTGGAGTTGTAAGCTTTGAACCTGTCAGCCCTCCTCAGAAGCCAGCCAAAGAACAGCTTTTAGGAAATGGCTCCTCTCCTTCTGCCACTGGCTCTCAGGTTTGAACTGTAATGACACCAAGGGCTTTATCTGCTGAGACACCTTAACAGCCCTGTTGATTTTGTTTTGGTTTGGTTTGGGGTTTTTTTTTTGCACTTTGAAGTAGATTTTTCTCTCTTTCCCCAGATTTCTCTTCCTCACACCCTTATCTTCTCAGCCCCTCCATGGCCTTGCCTTGTCATCCCAGTAAGAAACCAAGCCTCCAGCTGGCCCAGGTCCCGGATCTGAACAATTGCCCTTGTCTCCTCCTCTTTCAAGCTCCACAGAACTAGCCTCCAGGCACTCACCCTCTCCCTACTGGATCCTCAGCCTCCGGACACACCCCACTGTGCACACTTCCCCCTCACACCTCAAGCTTTCTATGGACATCTATATCACCATGGCTAATACGGGCGTACCACTCACGTCTCTGGGATAAAGCCCAGACTCCAGCCCCTTGCCAAACCTCCAGTTTTACTTCTCACTACAGTCCAGTCTAGTCCAGTCCTCTCTAGGAGTCTGTCTACCTTTTTTTTTTTTAAAAAAAAAAAAGATTACAGATTCTTATAAGAGGAGACAGTGAATTAGACGACTTAACTTTAAAAAAGAGGTAATTACGTCAGAGTGATCACAGGAGATACCGGAAGTGGGACTTTGTTGGTAGGTGAGATGGGCGTTAATGAAGAGGTAGCAAAAAGCACGCAAGCACCCAGAAAACAGAAGGAAATGACTGCTCAAAATGGACCATCCAGCTGGGTGTGGTGGTGCACTCTGGAGGCAGAGGCAGGAGGGAGTCTGTGAGTCCAGGTCACCCTGGTCTGTATAGTGAGTTCCAGGACAGCCAGGGCTATACTGTGACCAGTGTCTTAGTCATTGTTCTGTTGCTGTGAAGAGACACATGACCAAGGCAACTCTTAAAAGAGAAAGCATTTAATTGGGGGCTTGCTTACAGTTTCAGAGGTTTAGTCCAGTATCATCATGGCAGGGGACATGGTGACATGCAGGAAGGCACTAGAATGGTAGCTGAGAGCTACATCCCAATCCGTAGACAGACAGAAAAGGTCTAGGCCTGGCATGAGCTTTTGAAACCTCAAAGTCCACCTCCAGAGACACACTTCCTCCAACAAGGCCACACCTACTCCAAAAAGCCACGCCCCCTGATCCTTACAATCCTTTCACATAGTGCCACTCCCCGGTGACTAAGCATTCAAATATATGAGCCTATGGGGGTCATTCTTATTCAAACCTCTTCACCTGTCTCAAAAAAAGAAACAAAACCAGAAAGACCAGTGTGGCTGGAGCAGAGAGTGGGAGGGGCAGAAGAGGCTGCAGGGTCTGAGAAGGTTCTTCTTCTGGAACCATGGCTTCTCCCAACCCCATAGCACACATAGCCCCCATTATTTCCAACTACAGCTCCTTAGTCCTTTTGGATGATCATTGCCTTCTTATTTCTCTCTATACACAGACATCTTTCTCTAAACTATTCAGCCCTCCTTCCTTTCTTTTTTGAGATGGAATATCACGGAACCAGGCTAGTCTCAAACTCACTAGGTAGCTGAGAGTGACTTTGAGCTTCTAATTCTCTTACCTGCACCTGGGATTTCAGGCATATGTCATAGTGCCTGGTTTTGTGGTACTGAGGACCATGTTAGGGCTTTGTGCATGTCAGCTGAGCAACATCCTCGACCTCAGAGCCCTCCATTCCTGCAAAAAGCAAGGTACTGATTATCCTTCCCAGCCTCCTGACCCTATCGATATAGTCTACCCGTGACGGTGAACGATGCTACAGCTATAGAGCAGCTCACCTGAAAATCACCCTGGGCATCCTGATTCTTTTTTTTTTTTTTTTTTTTCGAGACAGGGTTTCTCTGTGTAGTTTTGTTCCTTTCCTGGAACTCGCTTTGTGGATCAGGCTGGCCTCGAACTCACAGAGATCTGCCTGCCTCTACCTCCCGAGTGCTGGGATTAAAGGTGTGCACCACCACCGCCTGGCTGGCATCCTGATTTGTGGTGGTATTGTGTTCCCCAAAATATTGTGCACCCTAATACATTTATCTGGGGTCAGAGAACAGATAGCCACTAGATACAGAGGCTAGAAAATGGTGGCACTCATGCCTTTAATCCTAGCATTCCAGAGACAGAAATCCCTTTAGATCTCTGTGAGTTCAAGGCCACATTAGAAACAGCCAGGCATGGTGACACATGCCTTTAATCCCAGGGAGTGATGGCAAAAGCAGAAAGATATATAAAGCGTGAAGACCAGAAACTAGAAGCTTTTGGCAGGTTAAGTTTTCAGGCTTTTGAGAAGCAGTTCAGCTGAGATTCATTCTGGATGAGGACTCAGAGGCTTCCAGTCTGAGGAAACAGGATCAGCTGAGGAATTGGCAAGGTGAGGTAGCTGTGGCCTGTTCTGTCTCTCTGATCTTCCAGCATTCACCCCAATAACTGGCCTCAGGTTTGATTTTATTAATAAGAACTTTTAAGACTCCTGCTACACTGGTTCTTATTTCCTTCCTCCCAAGAACTCAGGAAAATACCTGCCTTGTCTTGTTCTTAAGCCACTGTGAAATCATCTGCTTTGGATGCCACCTTACCAGACCACTGAAATCAGAACATGCCACTCCCAAATCATATTGATACATGGACCCTCTGAATTAAGGGCATCTGGGGGACAACCAGGGCATGCTGAGGTTCTCTATGAGCATCCCACACTAGCCACGCTTGCCTAAAGATGGTACGGCCTTCATGTGTTGATTGTCAATAGTCCACTGCTGCTGAGCATGATGGCACAGACCTGGAATTTCAGTACTCAAGAGGTGGCAGCAGGAGAATTCAAAGTTCAAAGTTCAAGGTCATCTCTAGCTACATATCCAGTTTTAGGCCAGTCTGGGCTACATGAGACCCCCATCTTTAAAAACAAAGCGTCATGGGAATAGCTCAAGAGGTAAAGGTGCTTGTTGCCAGAACTATGGAGTTTAATCTCCAGGACCCACACGAGAACTAACTCCTACAAATTGTCCCCTGACCTTTACAAGTATGCTATGGCACACATGAACCCACCCCCACAAATAATAAACATAAAAATAAAACAACAACAAAAAGTGAATACAGAACAGTTGGGTGTGGTAGCAGACATGGAATCCCAGAACCTAAGAGGCAGAGACAGGAGGATTGCTGCAAGTTTGAGGCCAGCCTGATCAATATAACACATTTGAGACCAGCTGGTGCTACATAATGAAATCCTATTTCAATAAAAGAAGGGCGTGTGTATGTGTGTGTTTAATATAAATATTACACATAGTAAGATCCTTTGAACAGAACTTAGTTGTCATGAATTTCCTCCCTGGGTTCAGGATCAGCCCTGTGTTAGACAACCATCTTTACCCACAGGCCTCAAGCTCAGGAGCATCTCCCTCCTGAGTTTGCGGGCGGCAGGCATGTACCACCATCCCTGGCTCCACCACCATCCCTGGCTCCACCACCATGCCCAGACAGCCTAGTCCCTGCTCATCTCAGGGCCTCTCCGAGACTCCTCCATGGAAGACCTGTCTGTATGAGAATACAGCCTTTATTCCTCACACATCCCCTTGTCTTCTTGCCATCTCTCTCCTTCAGAGGCTGGAAACCCCTGCCCCCTTCTGTGGTTCCAGAGGCTGTCAGTTACCTGAGTATGTAATTAAATGTAGCATTTCCCCTGTTCCTCTGCCTGGTGTCAGCTTAATGATCAGCTCTGCCAAGGTAACTAGCAGGGAAGGGAAGTCATTTTCCGCTCGCCTACCCCACCACAGTAGCTGCTTAGACACTTGCTTCCAAATTCCCCCTTTTTACCCTCCCCTGCTTAAAATATTGGCAACTCATTTTTTTTTTTTTTTCAACTGTGCGGGCTGAAAAGCAAAACAAAAACTAAAACGCACTCACTTCCTACTGTGCTTAAAATAACATCTTCATCCTTGCCTTCAAGCTGCCCTGCTCTGGCTTATCTGGGTTCTGGTCTGTCTATCTATCTATCTCCGGAGCTCTCTTGCCCTTCACTCCTTGGGTCACATGGTGGTCTGCGCCTCCTGGTTATTGTTCACCACCTCCCGTCTCCAGTCTCCTCCCTCTGCCTGCATTTCCCTGTTTGTTCATTCAGTCATGTGTTTATCTTCAGTCTTCAAGACCAAGAACCCCCTCTGACTTGTTCATGACTGTGGCCCCTGAGCCTGGCACATCACAGCCCCCCCCCCCCCCCCCCCCGACACACACACACCACACACTTATGGGCTGTTGGGTGAATGAAAGCATGCATAGATCTTTCACAAGCCAGGCTCTGTTCCAAGCCATTTACCTGCATCCTCTGACAGAAGCCTGTGGAGATAAACGGCTCTTCAGGTAGGTATAGTGACCTGGCCAAGGTCACACAGCCAGGAGGGCCTGGAGCCTGTATTCACACCAGCCTGCCCCTCTAACACCACACGAGCCTTACAGCTGGCAGCTGAGCTCTGGAGAGAGCTCTCACACCACACGCAGGGATGAATGAGTGGACAGATCACAAACACCTGCACTGAGTAGCACACTGTAATAAACAACCTGACCCCCTCTAAGCAGCTCCGTGGCATCTTCTGGGGGTCTGCTTTTGGCATTCAGAAAGGAGGGAAACACTATAGGAGGACTGTGCATTAAGTACTGGACTTAGAGGGCCTTGTGGTTTTCTGTTCTGCCCAGCATTGCCAGTACCAGCAGCTGCCCAGGCTTGGGTGGGGCGAAGGGAGGGGCGCATATCCAGGGCGGGCGGCACCCACCCAGGGAACATCATATTCTGGTAGCTGTAGGTTCTCTCCAGGGTGGCTCGGCTATCTCGTGAGAGTCCTATCTCTGGCTAGCTGCCATTTGCCTGGCAGCCCTCGTGTCTTGTCTCATCAATCATCCGGCTGCGCTCAGCCAGCCTGGCTCTCCGAATAAGCCATGCGTGCTGAAGATAGAATGGCCTGGAGCTCTGGAGGGAATCGAACCCACACTATGAGGGAGGCAGGGGAGGACCAGAAGGACTGCAGGCCTGAAGTCTCAATGGATCCCTCTCAGCTGAGGAAGGCCCACTAGGGGAGGAGGATTTTTATCGGAAAAGAAGGAAGGGAGGAGAAAAAGGAAAATGGCTAGGGGCTAGGGGTAGAGGTGGAAGTTGTTGGTTTCTTATTGCAATTAAAATTTCGTCTCTTCTGGTGCTCTGCCAGCCGCAGCGCACCCCCCACCCTGTCCCTTCCCGGGAGCAAGCTGACAGCCCAGGAAAAAAGGCAGGCTGCGGAGGTGATTTATTGCAGGTTCTGCTTTGTCAGACCCCCGACTTGGTGGCCTGGCTTCCCTAACCCTCGGCTGCCCCCAGCACTTCCGGGTAGGGATCGCCTAGGAGAGCCTGAGCGTCTCCACGCCTAGCTCCCACTTGCCTGGTTTTCTTTCCATCCCAGCCTCTAGGGAGAGGAATTTGTGTTGTCTCCCTCTGTGAAATGTTCTGCTGAAAGTCAAGATGCCTGAGTCAGGCTCATCAGAGATTTTCTAGTCCAGCCCTCGTCTTCTGTTTTGGTTTTGTTTTTTTGATCTGAACAATTAAAAAAAAAGTAATTCCCAACGTTTAAACTGGAATAGATTGCACTTAAAAATGATTTTTTTGGGTTGGAGATGGTTCATCGGTCAAGAGCCCTGACTGCTCTTCCAGAGGATCCTGGGTTCAATTCCCAGCACCCATATGGCAGCTCAAAACTGTCTGTAACTCCAAGATCTGACACCCTCACACAGACATTCATGCAGGCAAAATACCAATGCACATAAAATAAAAATAATTTAAAAAAAAAGAATACTTGCTGCTCTTGCAGGGGACCCAGGTTCTTTCCACCAGCCACATGGTAGCTCACATCTCAAGATAGCAGGCACACATGAAGTACATATACATACATACAAGCAAAACATCCACATATATATATATATATATATATATATATATATATATATATATATATTATTAAAAAGAATGAAGAGCAGGGCGTTGGTGGCACATGCCTTTATTCCCAGCACTCAGGAGGCAGAGGTGGGCAGATCTATATGGTTCAAGGCCAGCCTGATCTTCATGCAGAGCTACTTCCAGAACAGCCAAGGCTACATACACAAAGAAACCCTGTCTCAAAAACTCAAAAGCAAACAAACAAGCTCCAAAGATCTAGCAACCCTGGTCTGGCTTTCTCTTTGTTACACACTGAGGCCCCAGAGGCTTTGAATTTCCCACCCTGCCCCCCCCCCCCCCAGGTAAAGCTAAAGATGAGTGAAAACTGGAGCCAGGACCCATGAGTGACAACCTTGAATGGAAAAGCCTGGTTTACAGCTGTATAACTTTGACCGCAAAGATTCTCCTATAAACCCCGATTTCTCATCAGAATCTGGTGAAGAACAAATGGACACTTCCCACGAAACACTGAGCACCATTCCCTGTATGTAAGAAACTCTTAACAAGTAAACAACTCTAGAGCCTCAGGGATGGCTCAGTGAGGAGAAGTTCAAGCCGACAACCTTGATTCCATCCCTAGCACCCAAGTTGTCCTTGAGTTCCAGGGTAGCCCCAGCTGGCTGTTACACAGAGAAACCCTGTCTCGAAAAACTAAAACGCAAAACAAAAACAGACTCTTAATTTTGAAAAGGAAACAGACATATAAATGTTCTAATAAATATTCAAACACACCCAAAATTTAATGGCTAAGGATACCACTGTGGGAGCGGACTATGGGGGTTCACACTTATAATCAGGAGGCTGAAGCAGAAAGGCTTCTGTAAAGCTCAAGCCAGCCTGGGCTACAGAGTACCAGGCCATCCTGAGGTACAGTGTAAGCCCTTGCAGTAAAACACACAAGCAAACACAACAATAACAGCATTTTGCCTGTTATCTTAGCACTCAATGGTTCGTGCCTGTAATCCCAGCCTGTGAGAGGCTGAGGCAGGAGAACAAACTGCCATGTGTGAAACCCTGTCTCATAAAACTCCAACAGATGTTCAGTTCTTCCCTAGCCTCCTGGTGGTGGTGGGCTCCCAGGCAGCTGGCAGTGCAGTCCTTTGAACAACATCTCACGGGACTGAATCTCTGACTTAGCACACTCAGTCAGGTGGCCTATGATCTTGGCCTCCAAGGGCCACTCCTCATTGCCTGGGGTCTGAGAGACCGCATGCCAACATGAACTAGCACCCCCCGTTGCCAGGGGGCGGTGGCACACCCCTTGAAGTGCACCAGAGGGTGTGTGCTCTGGAGGCAGAGGCAGGAAGATCTCTGTGAGTTACAGGCCAGACTGCTCTACATAGTGAGTTCCAGGACAGCCTCGGCTACACAGAGAAACCCTGCCTCAAAACAAAACAAAACAAAAAACAAGCACCGGAAAGAACCAGAAATAGCTGAATGTCTTGTTATGACCTCGCCTTGAAAGCCACATGATGTTATTTCCACTTCTCTTCTTTTCGTTATTCTGACTAGCTAGCTGCTCAGGTCCAACAGGGACATCAACTCCTGCTCATGAATTATTATTATTTTTAAAACATTTATCTATCTATCTATCTATCTATCTATCTATCTATCTATCTATCTATCTATCTATCTGTTTGTTGTGCATTGGGTGGGTGCCCGTGCACTAAGTTGCATGTATGGAGGTCAGAGGACAACTTACAGGAGTCATTCTCTCCTTCTACCATGTGGTGCCTCTCAATGGAACTGAGGGTGTCGGGCTTGGCAGCAAGCACCTTTACCCACTGAGCCATCACACAGACAGACAGACAGACAGACAGACAGACACACACACACACACACACACACACACACACACACACACGCTTACTTAAAAAAAGCATGCTGTTGTGGGATAATCTTTGTATACACTGTAAAGGCACCTTCTGATTGGTTTACTAAAGAGCTGAATGGCCAATAGCTAGGCAGGAAAGAACGGCAGGACTTCTGGAGAAAGAGAGGAACTCACGGTTAGAATCTAGACACACAGGAGACTCCAGTGAGACAGGGAGGGAATCAGACTTAGAGAATGGAAGAGAAGTGAAGAAACCATGTGGCAGAACATAGATTAATAGAAATAGGTTAATTTAAATTATAAGAGCTAGTTGGGAACAAGCCTAAGCTAAAGGCCAAGCTTTCATAATTAATAATATATTTCTGTGTCATTATTTGGGGGCTGGTGGTCCAAAGAAAGACAAGAAAGACCGACTACACCATACTCTTCTTAATCTTGCATTTTTTCACTTAATAGTTTATCTAGGGCTGAGATGTAGCTCAGTTGGTCAAGTTCTTATCTAGTATATATGAAGCCTGGGATTTTACCCTCAGCACCACAGCAAACATCAGACACACTGGCACCTGCCTGGAATCCCAGCATTCCAGAGATGGAAGCACAAGGGTCAGAAGTTCAAATTCATCCTCAGATGCACAATGGGTTTGAAGATAGACCATGCTACACAAAACCCTGTCTCGAGACAAAAAAAAAATTAATAATTTATCTTAAAGATCAGCTTGTTTCAGTGTATACAGCAGGGTTTCATATAATTATAGGTATGTGCCACCACAGGAAGTTTTGTATGGTTTAGGGGATTGAACACTGGGCTTACTGCCTGCTAGACAAGCACTCTATTGACTGGGCTACCTCCCTAGGCACCCAGGGTTCTGCTTCCGTGCACGTCAGTCTCTCTGTGTCTCAATTTCTTCATCCATAAAGTAGGCAAAATAGTGTCGAGCACACAGGCTCATCATGAAGATCAACTGGTCTAAGCGATTGTGAAACGCTTATATTTGAGTATCAGGAGCTTCCCTCATTCAATTCTTAATACTTCTCTCCGAGAGATGGGAGCTGAGCTATTATTGTCTTGGTAACGCGGACAAGGAAACAAAAGCTGGGAGAGATAAAGCGACCTTTCCGAGGTCCCCGGAGCAGTAGAGATAGGATTCAAGCTGGGTCAGTCTGACTCCAACTTCTGCAGAGGCTGATCCAAATCATACTGGGTCGTCAGGCCAGGATCTCTGCTGACGCACCATATGGGACACTGGGCGGTGTGACCTATCTATCCACATTCCCTTCACCCCCAGGCCATCCTTGAAACTGGGAAGCACACACACAGCCAGCCACTGATTGTGTAGGCCAAAGCAAAAGGGGGTGGAACCATTTGGAGAAGGAAAGGGGAGAAGGGAGATGTGTTAGACATATTTAGTCATTGCTAGGACACATACCTGAGAAAAGCGGTGTGCACACAGTGACTTTTCAGGCCTGCAAAAATACTTAGTGAGATCTTGTCTCAAAAAAAAAATCATAATAGTAATGATATAATAATAATAATAAAAATAATAATAATAGTTAAAAAAAACCAACCCTGCCAAAGGTAAATAAATAAATAAGCAAGACAGAGTGGTATATACCTGTGATCCAAGGACGTTCCCCTGATATTGATATTCCCCACTTCCTTGTGCATGAACCCT